GGCGGTGATGATGGCAAGTCCTTTTAGGACACCCGGCGCTAGGATACGGAATCGCGAAGTTGTTAGCATGTCCATGAGAATGTTGTCTTCTATCGTCACCAACTCCAAGACTAATTGCTTGATTGATAGGTTAAGATCTTTCTGCGGCTGGAGGACTTTGTGCTTGGGATCTTGAAAGTCCACCAAGAAAGGTTCATCCGAAGCCTCGTCGCGACGGAACTTTGGTCCCTGAAGTTCAAGGACACATACATCGGACAAGCGAAGGCAATCAAGAGGCACAGAGGTTAGAATAGTCTGTAACCCTTGAAAATGAAGCGTAATTCCTTCCAGACGAACGTCGGTGAGTTTGGTGCAGGCGGAAAAGGCAGCAAAAAAGGCGTCCCGTCTGGGGAGGCTGTAAAGCTCGATAGCTTCCAATTGGATAAGCGTCAGGTTTTTCATATCTTCCATGATAAACGAGAAGCTGCGTGACTTTGAAATGCTAGTGTCGGGCGTGCAAGCGTCATCTGTGATAAAGCACTTGACCAATGGCGCGAGACCTGGGTTCGATTTGAAGAGACGGCGGAGCTCAGAGATTCTCCGTGCAGGAATTGTTTCAGAGTCCAGAGTGATGGAAATCACTCGGAAGAGGTGTGCTTTGGCTCGTATGCTCACTTGCCGAGATGTTAGGCATAAACTGCACAAGGTTGGCACACGATCATCGTCGTCCAAGTGCGATACCTCGTCGGTAATACTGTCAATGAGCTCTTGGGACAGCGCCTGAGGTCCCTATAATCACGCTGTAAGCCCGCATAGATGAACTAGCGTAGAATCCCACCTGCGTAGTCGTAGACACAGTATGACAAAGGAAGAACTGGAACTGGAAAATACAGCTCTTTTATGGTGGGCTTCAGCCATCGCTATAGGTGCTGTTTATATAGGAAATGATTCGAGAACGGAGTTCCTGTTTCCTCATCTAGATGGAACTTGATAACTATCAGAGTAATACGTATACGGCATTCACAGCCTGCGTGAAGGAACAAAAGAAAATTTTGTCGAGTTCATGATTCGGAAATACCGATACACTTTGGGAATTCGACTAGGAAGGTGCGTTGGCTAGACAATTATTGTCATGGGAAGGATAATAGAAAGTGACCTTGAAGTAAGTGAGAGATACGAATTGGATGCACTGCACAATGGGCGTACTGGAGGGCGATTGTCTTCCGGTTCCGTCCCGCGGACCGGTATTCTCCGACCTATAATCGATCTTGCGTCCGTTGCGTCCGTTCTACATTGTTCTCCTGTTATTGTGACTCTCTTCAGCTCTTTTCTAACATTTTCGTACAAAGCTCTTTTGTGATCCTTGGCTACCATGAAAGGTACCATCAGAGAAAGGCTCTCAAGGCTGCTATTATCATCGCTACTTGAAATCGTATTTATTTTGCAACCAAGTTCACCTCAAGGGATACCCTCTGTAAGCATCTAATCTCGCCCGCTCCTACGAGTTTCTCATATAGATTTCCAGGTAATGGCTCCTGCGAGAAGGAAGATATCTCGGGACAACAAGGAGAACATCGCCGTGGTGAGTCAACAACTGCGAACACGGACGGTACCTGTCGGGCTGTCAGAGGAGAAGGCAACTCTGCCTATTATCCAGAAGCTTAGGCGTTCAAGGCGCTCTCGCCGCCCGCTTTCTCGGTTTGACGACAATGCTATGGCTCCACCCTCTGGCGATATTCCAGCAAGCGTTCTGCCCTGTTGCGACTCCAAGCTTTTCTATACGGAAATTCGCCAGATTATTTCTTGCAGGAACTCGACTTGTGTTCATTGTCCATCGACATTTCTGCGGATATTCTGCCCGAGGAAAACTACCCATGCTCTCCTTTGATTGACCCATTCTGCCACCTACACACACTATTCCGTGACTCAGAAGTCAGATCGAATAGATGTGGCCACCCCAAGGACGGCAAGGGTCTCAAACTCAAGCTCTATGATGATAAAATGGTTGAGATCATCTCTCTTGGCCAAACTATATCATGCGCGCGCGGCATCGTCAGTCGAAACACCTGCGTAATCGAGGCGACATCCGAACGCGAAGGGTGGAAAGGTAAAGAACTCATCGTCAAGATCAGCTGGCCGGCCATCAATCGAGAATCAGAGGCACACTTGGTCCAAAAAGCCAGAGATAAGGCGCGAATGATGACGCACGGGAAGAAGCCAAACTGGGCCCTAGACCATCTGCCTGACATTCTCCTTTCTCAAGACTTTGACTACGACGCGGATTCTACACAGATGAAACTCATGGCTTTCTTCGAAAAGGCCTTGTTGGTAGAGGAGAGGAAGGTCGAGTACGAGAAGCGCGTCTGTCGAGTCACGGTCCAGGAGAGGTTGTATCCTCTCGAGGACCTGAAGACGGTCAAGGAGCATGCTCAAGTCTTTTTCGACATTTTGCAAAGTACGTATATTGTTTTTCTTTTCTGATGAGATGTCTTATAATCGCCCTAGTTCACAAGTGGGTCTATGATCACCCGAGGATCATTCACCGGGACATTAGTCCAGGGAATATCATGTGGCGCCACAATGCCAAAGGCGACCTATGTGGGGTCCTCAACGACTTCGACCTGTCCACTCGTCTACATGCCACTGGCCCTTCTTCGGTTCAGCATACCGGAACTCTACCTTACATGGCGTATGAACTTCTTATCAGCGACGAGAACGGAAACCCACCGCAGCACCTCTATCGACATGATATAGAGTCCATCTTCTATGTCATTCTCCTACGATGTTGTCGTTACGATTTTGTGACTACATTGGAACACGTAATTCCGCAGCGCATTAAAGTCCCTTCCCGCTTCGATGAGTGGTGCACGACCGACCGCGAGCCCTTGAATGATAAGAAAGGGAATTTTTGGTTCAGAGATTCCCGACCCATTGTGAATAAGGGTTTCACTGACTTTGAACCGTGGCTCAGGGACCTTTACCGACAGTTCATGCTGGGGTTTGCGTTCAAAAGACTTGAAGAAGGGGGGAAAGAACCCTTTGATGATCAAACCTTACAAGGCCAAGTTTCTTACCCGACCATTGTCAATATTTGTCGCCAATTCGGAGGTTCGAACCTTGAAATACACAACGATCAGCTCCAAGAGGAATCCTAGTACTGAAGTCGTTGCAGTCTGTCTCAATAATGTATATAACTGTAGCTACTATCTATTGTTTTGCGGTAATACACCCAGTTTGAACTTGAACTTCGCGCTGTAGTCCGGGCCGCAGGGATGCTGGTGGACCCTGCTGTGTAATACTGCCTACCTAACATAGGTATTTCAGTTGAACGGACCACGGCATGAATAATTCGATGAACACCCAACACCCTTGATCCTGGATTGCAGCTACATGTACTACTTGCGACCAATTTTGTTCTTTGTTATAGGACACTCCATCTAGAGATGAGAGCTGCGGCAGCTAAGTACCACGTAAATCGCCTTTTTCAATGGATACACGGACGTTCAGGATTTTCGAAGGGTGATCGCTGTTGACGCTTTTCTGCCGCAAGTAGATCCAAACTTGATCAGAAACGGATATACCCACACTGATGTACGAGAAGACGCTACGGAGAGCTAATCTGTCTGCAGGGAATAAACGCTGTCAGGAACCCAGAAATCGGTAGCCAAGAAAAAAGGAGGTGAGCTGGATGCCGCTACGCTGCACCAGAAAAATTCTCTTGCAGTGAGCATCGATAGTGGGTTAAAGATTGGGCAATGCGCGGACACAAAGACAAGCCATTCACATTGGTAGATATCCAGTCGCGCAAGAAATCTTAGTAGTAATATACACATTCTCTGTTCTGTAGTTCGTTAGCGAGCTCATAAGCTAAACAGCCAAGTCCACTCACTATTCTCAACATATCCTCGTTTCAGATCCCTTTCCCGGCTCTCACCAGTTTCAGTTTCTCCTCTGGCACGCCATACCGTTGCATGAACTCTGCGATAACCTCTTTGCTGACGCGGAATCCAAATCCTGACTCCCCAGTGTGCAGATCAAGGTACGAGCCATTGCCCCCAGCATCGATTTTCTTGGCAACCTCATTTGCGGCATCGGCACTTGTCTTCCACATAAGTCTCTTGTCCACGACAGCGAGGAAATAGCCTGTCGCACGGTCGGTACCATACGCGATTTCGATGTCACCCTGTTCGATGGTGTAACGGGTCATGTTTCTGCGAGGAGTTAGCAAAACGAGCAGTTGAGGCGGTGGGACTGACACTAGGATAACGGGGGAAGGATCGTGTGAGTCAGGATCATGTCGAAGCGTCTTTTATGGTGCCCAGACCGATTAGGCCTATGGCAATTCTGCGGAGGCGCCGAAGAACTGTTGTAATTGAGTTTTATAGGCGCTCGGGAAGGTCATCACTACTGATTTGTACCAGAGTCATGCTAGTGTTCGTCCGTTCTGGAACTAGTCTGGCCGGGGTCCGGTTCGGTCCAGGTTCGGGCACATTTGCCTGAACCTCGAACCCGCACCTCCAGGTTCGCTCCCCAACCCCCCGAACCTCAAACCTGAACCTCAGGTTCAGGTCCACAAGGTTCGGTCCAGGTTCGAACCCGGTCCAACAGTTTTTTTTTTCATTGTGTATCACAAACCATGCATATAAAAACAATCACTAAACTACATGGATCGACGACTACATTGAAAAGTCCCAGTCTGCCTCGTCAAAACAAGGTCCAGTATCCATCCACGCTTCATTCTGCGCACTTATGCGTCCATCTCGATAAGCTTCCTTCAAACGCTGCAGCGTCCCAAACTTCTCGGCACCAAGGTTTCGACGGCGAGGATCAGAATCAGTACGCCCTGCATATGAGAAAGCACGCTCCGATGATGTAGAAGATCCAGGGACGGCGAGATAATCACGGGCCATAGCAGACAGCACCGGATACTCGTCTTGGTGAATCTGATTCACACAAATTAGTCATATGAACTTCAATACAAGGACACAACGTACACCCCACCACGCGATAATGTCTTCACACAATGCCCGGTTCACTGGCTTGCTATACATGAATTCCTCAAGCTCTGCTGTTGGGCTCGCCGGCTCGGAAGGAACTGAAGCCGAGTTCTTGCGGATTAGCTCGTCAATCCAACTGTCAGTTGTCGTCAACGCTATCATAGTAGGATTTCGGAATGTCCTACCGGGTAATGTGCTTGCGTCTAGCACTAACGTTGCCGGTCATGAATGCCGTACTCTCTTTTACCCCATTTTCGCTAGAGAGCTCATTAGACATAGCCAGAGTAAGGATGGCGTCAATACTCACATGCATAGCAAGCAATAATGGCCGGCTTTCATCTCGCCGTCAACTTTCCGTACATCTGGACGGAAGCAGAGGCGTAAATCCGCAGTCTCGGCACTCCGCGTGCGTTTCGTTCGGGTCTGGACTAAGTTTAGTGTGATGTTACGGCAGAATTTCATACGTACTTCACCTCCATTTGATTTGATCTGCCAGTACCGTTTCTCTCCTTCTTCCATCTCTGACTCTTCACCGCTGCCTGTATCGTTGGTGGCAGTATCAGCCGTAGTCGCTGGCTTGGGGGCAGCATGCTGGAATAATATCCCATCAGTATCTCTCATGGTTTCTCGGACAAGGTAAAACGTGCCGTCTTCTGCTTCTTACTGGTGCTCTCTTTATTAGGCTCGTCGATATTGATCTTTCGCTTCGGGACCGGGGAGGATGTCGGGGAATGGTCCCATACAATTTGGTCTGCCGTCTTCAGAGTGCCATCAGGATTAACAGCGTCGCCGTCTGGCTTGTCATAATCCTTTGGTACGTCAGTACGATCTTCAACTGCTGAACATTCAATAACTTTCTTAAAATATTGGTACAAGCAACATACCACCAGACTGGACATTTCCTTCTACTCCGAGAAAGGTCTTCATACTCCGTGCATCTTCGGCGTCATTGTTCGCGTCGATAAGCTTTGCTGCAACCTGGACACGACGCTTCGTGTTCTCTGGAAGGATCAATGTTTCGTCAACTTCTCGACCCATGGCCGGATTATTGGCACTAGGCGACGGGCGTACTCGGGCGTACTCGATTTGCTCAAATTTCTTGCAAAGACGTAATTACAGTGCTGAACGTGGTGGCTTGAACCTTATATTGCCCGACTATATAGTTACCCCAAAATGAGACCACGATTCTCTGTATTAGGTAGTATTGCGAGGGGAAATTTAGATTTATAAACTCACCTGTACACTTGCGAAATTTGCACGAACTATTTGGAGGTTCAGCAGGTTCGAACCCGGTGCGCAAATTTCGGCCAGGCTGAACCCCGCACCTGGACCTCGGTGGTTGTGCTGAACCTGAACCTGAACCGCACCTGGACCTGCGGGTTCGGTTCAGGTTCGGACCGGGTTCATGCGGTCCTGCACCGGACCGCGGCCAGACTATCTGGAACTAGACGGTATTATATACCTTCGGTGGTCAATGCGGCATGTTCCTTAGCTGTTAGGAGAGATACCGTTACAACATGAGCCTCATGTTTCCAAAATAAAAGTCGGTGAGACGACCGGCGATGTTAGGCGCCGTATGCTGCTGATCTCTTCATCAGGAAGGGCCTTCGTAGCTTGGGAACCCGTTATCCAAGGGTCAAACGAAGATAAACCATCTTCCACAGGAATTTGATGATGCTTTAATGGGCTCTAGTTCAACGTCGTAGCCTTTGGAGTCGAGAAACTAGGCTGGTGTCGAGAAGAATTGGCTAACAGAAATTGGCTAGACCCCGTGTCTCGGACCCTTCATGGATATAATATTGGCTTTGGCAATACTTGGCGTCAGCAACACCGAGCCTGCTATTTATGATACAATATATTGATCTCGGTAGACAACGATAACTGGAAGAAAGAAGGATCAGTTCATGTATGGATGCAGGACCATATTATCCTTCACCTCCGGTTCGTAACGAGTGTTTCTGTCTCTCTCTATGCCAATCTTCTGCCATCGTTCTTTGGGCCTCCTGCATTTCAATTCCAAAACACGGTAGTGCGCACGATCTCCAAGGCACGTAGGTTTGATTAAATAGCGCCATGAGCACCTAACAAATCTCCGTTTTCAGCCTTAACTATAGCCGCAGTATGCGATACTTGACGGCTGGACGAGGGCCGAAATTGTTACCATAACTGTCGTCGACCATCATCCCAGTAAGGTTTGCATGCCACGGTTATTGAGAGACTTCAGCAATAAAGTCCAGTCAGCCATAGTACTTCCGAGTATGAATTCGAGAGCGCACGACGTCTCTTCCCAAGAGTTATGACTTGGCTTAACGATTCTCCAATGTTTACTTCTTGGTCGAGACGATGCTCGTAACAAGGAAACGCGTCGTTCTGTTTTCCGAGGGAGTGCATGCATTCGATCCCTATAGTACTAAAGTTGTCCGAGGTCCTCTTAGCGTCAATGTGGCGGAATAACTTGGCGAACCGCTTCATAATGATCGTAGAATTTAAAGGTCAGAGAAGGTGATCAGAGATGGACCGGCATTGTCCGGGCATGTGACCAAAAGTATGCAGATTGTCCTCCACCGTCACCTCAGAGAGAAATACTCCGTCGACAAATAGACCTCTAGGTGAGGTGACACGTTTATCTTCTCAGAGTGTCCCGCCCTGCAATCGTGCCAAGGCTATAAACCCCACCGCTAACCCGAACCACCCTACTCCTGAATCCGACAGATACTTTGAAGATCTCAGAAACCGCGTTCGCATGCCTGCAGACGATTTCTTTACCAATATTCTCCATATTCCTCATGACTGGCGAACAAGCGAAAAGATAATATCTCTGATTAGAGCCATCAAAGACGACGCCGCATTCATACAACATGTAAAGGCCTACAGCGAACTATGCCAAGAGGGCCCTCCCTGCAAAAGTGCCTTCGATGCTCTATGTGCCACCAACGACTCAAGTCCAGGCGTTTATCGACAAGACGTGAAGCCGGCAAATGACAGGCTACAAAAGGACGACCACGACACTCCAGTGGGCGTTCTTCGCGCCATGTTCAACAGTTCAAGAAACGTAGTTGGCAACATGGTAGACGATGAGCTGGAACATAACTTCTCTTGCGTGCAGACGATGCACTGGCAGGAATTCAAATCCAAGGTGTCCGACCTCAACGAGGGCACCGACGCCATCTATAGAGTTCTAACAATTGGTAAAGGTTTTTTTTTCTTTTTCTGATATCCTTCTGAGCAGTTCTTGCGTCCAGGTAGGGGGTATCCTCAGGAGAAAGCGCATCGAGACCCTGGCGGTATCCTACCCTTCGACAAGTCGACCACCTCAAAGAAGCGGCATCGTTCGGAAGACGACACTTCTCGTGTCCTCTCCAAGTATGCACGATCTGGGATGGCAGCTGAAGTTTCGGATGCCAGGAAAGCGTCTGAAAATTTGGTGACACGCCGTTCTCTGACAGAAGTCACGGCCGGAGACGAAGAAGAATCCAAGGCGCGTCCAACCGTACGGCCCCGGAGTGATCGTTATGTCCTCGATATGGTTTCCAGCACTAGCTTTCGTACCCGTTGTATTGGTGTTCTCGTTGCACTGGGACGAGTACAACTCATTTACTACGATCGCTCGGTCATTATTGTGTGCAAACCGATTGACATGTTCGAACGGGACGCTGAGCAGCAGTGGACTAACGTGACAGACACGTTCGTTGCGATGCTCATCGGATTAGGTCGAACGATTTTCAGGCAGCGGCATACCCTGAAAGCATTCTGTGACAACAAGGTGCTCATCGACGACCCTTGCGTGCACATGGACAGGTGCAACAACCCCAAGGACGGACTCGGAAAAGATTTCAAGCTCAAGCTCTACGACGATAAGATGGTCGAGGTCACCCTTGGCCGGACTATATCACGCGCGCCCGGCATCGTGGGTCGAAACACTTGTGTAGTCGAGGCGACATCGGAATACGAAGGGTGGAAAGGCAAAGAAATCATCGTCAAGATCAGCTGGCCTGACACCAGTCGAAGATCGGAGGCAGAGTTGGTCAAGATGGCTAGAGAGAAGGTGCGAGCGATGACACTAGGGAAGAAGCCAGACTGGGCTCTATACCATCTGCCCGACATCCTTCTTTCTCAAGACGTTGACTACGACGCAGATTCTACTCAGGCAAACATAGCAAATCTCCTTGAAAATGTATTGTTCGTAAACAAGAAGAGGGTCGACTACGAAAAACGCGTCTGTCGAATCACGGTTCAAGAAAGGTTGTATCCTCTCGAGGAACTGAAGACGGCCAAAGACTACGCTCAAGTTTTTTTCGACATCTTGCAAAGTGTGTCCATTGTTTTTCTTTTCTATTGAGATAACTGACGATTCCGGTAGTTCACAAATGGCTGTATGATCACCCGAGGATCCTCCACCGGGACATTAGCTCAGGGAATATCATGTAGCGCCGCAATGCCAACAACGACCTATGTGGAGTCCTTAACGATTTCGACTTGTCTACCCTCCAAGATGCCACTGGCGGCTCCTCGATTCAGCGCACAGGAACGCTGCCCTATATGGCGTATGAACTCCTCAAGAACGGATGCCCGTCCAAGCATCTCTATCGACACGATATGGAATCTATTTTCTATGTCATTCTCTTGCTCTGCTGCCGTTACGAACTAGTGCCTACCCCAGACACTCCTGATTCCGCGATCCGAACACGCCAGAAAGTTCACTCCCAATTCGACGACTGGTACACAGTTAGCCGTGCTGAGTTGAAATTTGAGAAAGGCGATTTTTTCATGGATGTTACTCCCACAGTGAACAATGACTTCGCCGACTTTCAGCTCTGGTTAAGTGAACTTCACCAACAGTTCAGAGATGGATACCATGCTCGAGGTTCCCATATCAACCGCCAATTATGCGGCAAAGCCACTGGACCCTTCGACGACGAAACTCTGCAGGGCCAAGTTTCATACTCCGTTGTCCTTGATATCTGTCGTCATTTCGCCGGTTCGCCCCTCGTCGTACGCAATGATCAGGTTAAAGAGGCCGCCTAGTACTATAGGCCGTAGTTATACACAACGTAGTCGTGTATGTAGTGTAGCATCCGTTTATGAATCTTTATCGATATCTATTGTAACACTTTTGCGAAGAAATGATTACGAATATTTTTTTACTCATTGCACAGCCGCCTTTTCTCTTTTTTCCTGCGATTCAACTATTCTCATCTGTCATGGGATGATGTCCTCGCAATCACACTCAACCAGTCTCACCATATGATCGTTGAACAGCGCCACGAGTGCCCGCCAGTCTCCGTTTTCAACCTTGAGGATAATCACAGGATCCTGCTTGACGTCCTGATCAGGCTCGAAAAACGTTTGCTATTCCAATAATTGTCGTTGACTATTTGATCAGGAACCTCCGCAGTATCAATCAGAGTCAGTCAAGAAGCTTTCGAGTACAAATTCGAGTGTGCATAATGTACCATGCTGTCCTTGCGTTGCTGAAACCGACCAATATGCTGGAGGTCGTAGCGGAAGAGCTGGACGGCTTGTCTCGGCAAGCTGGACTCGGACCGTTGGCCCGGGGAGTGTTTAACCTCGCAGTAATCATTCATTCATCTTGCTACTCGCTATACTAGCCTCTAAAATCAGATCATACACTACTATGACCTTACCCAACATACGAAGTGAAAGTAAGTCTCGAGTCTTCATTGTTAACGCCTTAACGGGTCATGCAGTTTGAATTTGAAGGTTCTTACGTATATCTGTCGATACAACTATTCGGTGTATCTAAGCATTCATGCGGTCGATTGTCACGAGTATGCAGTTCTGGAGTCGATGGAGGCCTCGGATGCTGCAAGACTTAATTCCTCCGACGCTTTGTCCCACTAACGACCACCATGTCGTCCTCAAACTTTGGCACCTTTGCACGCAGCAAGACGAGAAAATTTCCTCCTCAGGCCATTGATGAGATACTCTCCTTTGTCCATGATCTAGACACCCTCAAAAGCTGCACGTTAGTTTGCCGAGATTGGGAGTCCACTGCGCAGCTATACCTGTTTTCCGTGGTACACGTCGGTGGTCATCCGCCGCCTCGTCGTCACAGTCCATATGACATACCCCATCCACTTATCCCCCTCAATGAACTCCATACCTTCAGGTTACAAGGCTTTATCCGGGAGCTCCGTATCCTACAATCTCCCGGCAATGCCTTTCTCCAGCAGCTGCAGGTCATTCTCGACAACGGAGACTTCAGGAGGCTCAAGACGGTGATGCTGGATCAGACCAGTCTTACCATGACTGGCGCGACTATGGCACAAGTCCAGAAGTTACTACTGTCGAATATCAGGTTCTCTGGGCCCAACGGGCTACTGGCGCTCGATCTCTCCCGTTTCAGTTCCTTGGAGGATTTGCTGTTTGAAGGAATAACATTTCTCCCGTCGACTCTAGGTCCACCAGTGAACACGCCTCCTCCACTGCAACTG